CATTAAAAATAATAATAAAATTTAACCAAGGAGGTGAAAGATCTGTCCTTGGAAAATTATAACTCATTGAAGAAAGAAATTGAAGATGATACAAATACACTTGTGAAGTTCACAGTCCAGAGGCATAGGTTCATTAAAAGACTGAGACCTAATCATAGGACTACAGAACACTTCCCTCGCCTGACATTTTACCACCACATTACTAAAGGCATATTAACCACAGTTCCTTTACCTGGTACGTCATGTCTGGCAATCAAGAAAAAAACTACAAGGCATATCAAAAAGCAAAAAACAATTCGAAGACACAGAGCAACTATTAAACCAAACATGGCATGGAATTATCAGACTGGAAATTCAAAGCAAATATGATTACTATGCAAAGGCTCTGATGGTTAAAGAAGACAGCATGCAAGAACAGAAGGACAATGTAAGCAAAGAGACAGAATTCCTTAAAGAATCAAAAGGAAATTTTAGAGATCAAAAACATAGAAATGAAGAATGCCTTTGACAGGCTTATTAGTAGACTGGACATAGCTGAGGAAAGAATCTCTGAGCTTGAGAATATCTCAACAGAAACCCTCAAAACTCGATAGCAAAAAGAACAAAAACTGAAAAAAAATCCACAGATCGTGAGACAACTACAAAATGTGCAACATAAGCATACAAGGAATGCTAGAAGGAGAAAAAAATGAGAAAGAAACTAAAGAAATACTAAAAATAATAATGACTGAGAATTTCCCTAAATTAATGTTAGACACCAACCCACAGATCCAGGAAGCTCAGATTGTCAGAACAGATGAAAAAACAAGACCCAACTATATGTTGGGTCTTGTCTACAAGAAAACCACTTTAAATATAAAGACACATGTAGATTACAAAAGTAAATGGATGAAGAAAAATATACCATGCTAACACTAGTCAAAAGAAAATAGGAGTAGCTATATTAATTTCAGATAGTGTAGATTTAGAAGCAAGGAATATTATCAGGGATTAAGGAGGGCATTACATAATAATAAGGGGGTCAATTCTCTAAGAACACACAACACTCAAAGTATATATGCCTAACACCAGAATACCAAATACATGAGATAAAAACTGACAGAACTGCAAAGAAAAATAGCTGAATCCAATATCATAGTTAGAGACTTCAACACATCTCTGTCAGAAATGAACAGATCTAGCAGGCAGAAAATAAGTAAAGACATAGTTAAACTCAACAACAACATCAATCAACTGGATATAATTGACATCTATAGACTACTTTACCCAATAACAGCAGAATACACATTCTTCTCAAGCTCAAATGGAAGCATTCACCAAGACTGACCACATTCTGGCCCATAAAACACAAGTTAACAAATTTAAAAGAATAAAAATCAGTGAATGTCTGCTCTCAAACCACAACAGAATTAAACTAGAAATCAACAACAGAAAGATAATTGGAAAATCTCAAAATATGTGGAAATAAAACAACACACTTCTAAATAATACATAGGTCAAAGAAGAAATCTCAAGAGAAATTTAAAAATATATTAAACTAAATGAAAATAAAAACACAACTTATCAAAATTTGTGGGATGTAGTAAAAGCAGTGCTTAGAGGGAAATTTATAGCATTGAATGCATATATTAGAAAAGAAGAAAGATCTGAAATCAATAATCTAAGTTTCAACCTTAGGAAGCTAGAAAAAAAAGCAAAGTAAGGAGGAGAAAAGGAATAAGAATTAGAACAGAAATCAATAAAACTGAAAAAGGGAAATCAGTAAAGAAAATCAAAACTAAAAGCTGGTTCTTTGAAAAAATCAATAAAAGTGATAAGCCTCTAGTCAGGTTAGCTAAGAAAAAAAGAAAAAGGAAACAAATTACTAATATCAGAAATTAAAGAGGGGACATCACTATAGATCCCATGGACATTGAAAGGATAATAAAGGAATACTATGAAAAACTCTATGCCCACAAATTTGATAACCAAAATAAAACGGACCAACTCCTTAAAAGACACAATCTGCCAAAACTCACACAAGAAAAAAAACAACAACCTGCATAGGCATTAAAGAAATTGAATCAATAATTAATAACCTTCCAAAACACAAAGTTTACCCAGATGGGTCACTGGTGAATTCTACCAAACAGTTAAAATTCTCTATAATCTCTTTCAGAGAATAGAAACAGAATACTTTCTAACTCATTGTATGAGACAAGCATTACCCTAATACCAAAGCCTGAAAAATGCAAGAAAACTTAGACCAATTTTTTTTATTAACAGAGATATAAAAATCTTCAATGAAATATTATCAAATAAAATTCAACAATGTAGAAAAAGAATTATATACCATGAACGAGAAGGATTCATCCAAGGCATGTAAAGTTGGTTCAACATTTGATAGTCAATTCTCACAACCCATCACAACCCATTACATTAATAGGTTAAAAAGAAAAATCCATGATAATATCAATATATAGAGAATATGTATTTGACAAAATCCAACACAAACTCATGGCAAAAATCTCAGTAAACTAGGAACAGAGAGGAATTTCTTCAACCTGATAAAGAATATCCACAAAACTTACAACTAATATCATACTTAATAGTGAGAAACTAGAAGCTTTCCTACGAAGATTAGGAACAAGACAAGGATGTCCCCTCTCACCACTCCTTTTCAACAGCATATTAAAAGACAAAAGGAAATAAAAGGTATAGAGATTGGGAAGGAAGAACTAAAACTGTCTTTGTTTACAGATGACATGATGGTTTATATAGATGATCCAAAAAAATTGACAAAAAACTCCAAGAACTAATAAGCGATTATAGCAAGGCTGCAGAATACAAGGTTAATATTATACAAAATTCACTTTACTATATGCCAGCAATGAACAAGTGGCATTTTATAAATAAAAACACAATACCATCTATATTAGTATCAAAAAATGAAATACTTGAGAATAAATCTAACAAAATATGTACAAGGTCTATATGAGGAAAACTACAAAACTGATGAATGAAATCAAAGAACTAAATAAATGAAGAGATATTCCATATTTGTGGATAGGAAAAATCAATATTGTCAAGATGTTAGGTTTTCCCAGCCTGATTTATAGTCAGTGCAATTCAAATCAAAATTGTAGCAATTTATTTTGTGGACATCAACAAACTGATTCTAAAGTTTATATGGAAAGGCAAAAAAGCCAGAATAGCCAACTCAATATTGAAGGAGAAGAACAAAAGTTGGAGGACTGACCCTAGCTAACTTCAAGACTTACTATGAAGCTACAGTAATCAAAACAGTGTGGTTTTACAAAAGAATAGACCAATTGGTCAGTGGCACAGAAAAGAGAGCCCAGAAATAGACCCACATAAATATAGTCAGCTAATCTTTAACATGGAACAAAGGCAATTAAATAGAGTAAAGACCGTCTTTTCAACAAATAATGCTGGAAGAAATGAATATGCACATACAAAAAAAAAATATCTAGACACTGATCTTATGACCATCATGAAAATGAACTCCAAACATATTATAGATCTAAGTGTAAAATTAAAAACTATTAAACTTCTAGAAAATATCATAGAGTTAATAACGTAGAGAAAATCTAGATAACCTGTGTATGGAAAAAACTTTTTATCTATACCAAAGGCACAAGACCATGAAAGAAATAATTGATCGGCTGGACTTCATTAACATTAAAAACTTCTGCTCTACAAAATACAATGTCAAGAGAATTAGAACGCAAGACACAGACTGAGAAAAAAACAGAGTAGCCAAAATCCAAAACACTAACAACATCTCATGCTGGCAAGGATGTGGAGCAATAGGAATTTTTATTCACTGCTGGTGGTAATGTACAATGAATGATATAGTCACTTTGGAAGACAGTTTAGTGATTACAAAACTAAACATACTCGTACCATATGATCCAGCAATCAAGCTCCTTGGTATTTACCCAAAAAAGTTGAAAACTTAAGTTCCTACAAAACCTGTACACAGATATTTATACCAACTTTATTCATAACTTCCCAAACATAGAAGCAAGACATCCTTCAGTAGTTGAATGGATAAACAGTAGTACATCTAAAAAATGGAATATTATTCAGAAAAAAAAATAAGCCATCAAGCCATGAAAAGACATGGAAGAATTTTAAATGCAAAATTCTAAGTGAAAGAAGCCAGTCTGAAAAGGCTACATACTGTATTATTCCATATATATAACATTCTGGAGAAGGTAAAACTATGGAGACAGTAAAAAGATCAGTGGTTGTCAGAGGGTGAGGGATATGGTGTAGGGAGAGATGCATAGGTGAAAAACATTGGATTTTTAGGTTAGTAAAAACACTCTATATTATACTATAATGATGGATACATGTCATTGATACATTTGTCCAAACCCACAGAATGTACAACACCAAGAGTGAATCCTAATGTAAATTATGAACTTTGGGTAATCATAATGTGTCAATGTAGGGTCACTGATTATAACAAATGCACCACTTTGGTGGGGGATGTTGATAATGGAGGAAGCTATGCATGTTTGGGGGCAGGGGGTATATGAGAACTATATGTGCCTTCATCTCAATTTTGCTGTGAATCTAACAGCACTCTAACAAATCTCTTTAAATGTGAAAAACAAATCTATATTTCATGTCCTGAAAAGAGACTAAGGAAACAAGTGAGTGAATATCCTAAGTGTCCTCATAGGGGAGAAGGAAAAGTGAAGAGAGGCAACCTGCTATTCTCTGAAATTGCTCCAGTAAGAATCAAAGAACTATATCCTAGTAGGAACTGGGATGAAAATCAAGAAATAAGTTCCTAGAGATGTGATATATTAGAGAGAATAACTGAGGAAAGAAGAAAGTCTCCTTCCCTGGAGACATCTAAAAGATAAGACCAACCAGTCATGGCTACCCTGAGGCAGGGACAGGACAGTTCCTTAGTAAATAAATGTAAAGCCATGCCAATCAGACACCCTATAGAAATCTCCTAAAAGGAATCTCAAAGATCTTACTTTTTTTTCTTCCTCCTCCTCCTCCAACTCGGACTCTTCCTTTTCTTTCTCCAAGAAGGAATCTGGGCTGTTAGCTCTAGAGAGCATTAAGTCTAGAATAGGATTAGGAAGGAAAGGCTAAATCATTTATCCAATAAAATAGGTGATGAGTTAATAAAACCAGTCCCAGAGAATCAGTCTTCTAACTCTACTTTCATGTCCAAGGGGTATTCTCTCCGTAAAACATGATCCTAGATTATCATGGTTCTACTCTTTTCAAAGTCCCATCATTAGTCAATATGCACCACCACCCCCCTCCACCTCCTTCTTCCCCTCAGTTCCTCTCTCCATTTGTCCATCCATCTATCCATTCCACACACTTGGCCAATGGCATTCATGGAAAACCTCCTATTATAGAATCCAGAACTGGGTTGATGGCATCAGATATAAATAAAAGCTTCAGCTGCTGCCCTCATAGAAGAATCCCTCCTCTCCCACTTTAGTCCTCATTCCTCTGACTTATCTTACCTTTTTCTTCCCCACCATTGTCAGCTCCATTGTATCGGCTCCGGAAACCAAACAAGTTAACCCTTTCCTGAGGGAACCAAGAAACAAAAGCACCATCCACTACTCTCCCAGGGACTATTGCTGTCCTCTGTCTTAAAGATTTTAGTTATGGGTTTTTTATTCATATTCCATACCACTTTCACTTGAAATTTCACATTAGATTTATCTAGATTTTTGTGGAGATTAACTATTATATTATAGTAAAATAATATGTAATAATATACTATTATAACATATACATAATATATTATAATACAATCTTTTTCCAATATATAATTCCATAAATAACTGGGAAGGGGAAATTCACTGTTTGTCATTCTCCATCCCACTCCCAAAGGCAGAATTTGAGGATAAAAACTGACTCTGCATAAAAGAGAGGTTAGGGCACATACATCTAAGAATTGACGGGAGAATGCCCCCTACCACAAACTGTCTCTGTCTGGGCTGAGAGAAGTCTCATTTGTCCAAGGGTAGAGAAAAGAATGGATGAGCTGAGGAATCAAGGGAATATGGCCTGGGAAGAAAAGATTATGTAGTTCTAAGACTAAGACTATGTAATGGGGAAGAACAAACTGGTTTTCTGCAGTAGAGAGAGTGCATGGTTTGCTTTGGGTCCCAAGTCTCAAAGAGGAGCAGGTATGTGGTCCTCTCTCACCTGAATACTGATCTGTTCTGCCTCTTGAGCCATTATCAGGGCTGCCTTCAGTTTGTTGCTACAGTCCTTGTTCCTGCACTTCTGAAATGGAAGAAGATCAGAGTCAATGATAAATATTAGAGAAGTGACCACATCATACTGCTACTCACCAGACACTATCTTTAACTAAATTTATTTCCAGTTCCTGGTATTGACATGATACTGCTATTAACTTCTGAGCTCAGAGACACAATGCCCTCTTATCTACTCCCTGCCCAACAAACTTTTCACAAATTCCTAGAAATATTTTCAACCAACACTTTGGTTAAATCCCATGGAAATTTCAAAAGGTAAGATTAAAGGAGTTCAGGTGATTACACTTTTAAGCTTGATTTAATACTCACTGCCTGATTTTCTAAGGCCCCTGAGCTGCTGGGTCTATGCTTATTTGTAAGGCGGGTTGAAACCAAAGTGATCATAAGGAAGAACTATTATTTACTTAATTCAATGGTTCTCAACCAGGGGAGGTTTTGCTCTCCAGGAGACATTTGGCAACATCTAGAGACAACTTTTTGGTTGTCGCAACTAGGAGTGGGGTTTGCTACTGGCTAGATGCTAACAGAACACAGAAATGCTGCTAAACATCCCTAAGTGCACAAGACAGCTTTCCACAACAAAAAATTATCTGTCCCAAAGTATCAGTAGTGCCTAGTCTGAGAAACCTGAATTAATCTGTGCCCTCATTTCTGCTACACCTGCTTTGGCTAAACTGTAGAAAATCAAAGTCTTCAAGAAAGCCTCCCATCTGCAAACAAAGAAGGAGACTAAGAAAATCATTATC